ACACACACACACACACACACACACACACACACACACACACACACACACAAATACAAACAGGAGAGGAGGCTGAAGCAGGAGGATTGCTAATTCCAGGCCAGCCTGGGCTACAGCGTGACAGAGCTAAAAAAAAAAAGAGAGAGAGAGAGAGAGAAAGTCGACAAAAAAATGGAAAACAGAAAACAAGAACGGTTACACTTTTACCTCTCTCCTCTCCCTCTTCCTCCCTCACAGGTGGCCTTGGCCACCTCTGGCCTAGGGGAGGGTCAGGCCAGGCTGCGTTGCAGACAGAAACAAACAAACAAAAACCAGGCCTGGCTCAGCCTGGCTCAACCTGGCTCAACCTGGCTCTGAGCCTTAAGAGGAGCTCAGGAGGCTTCATGGCTGCCCAGGGGCGATTTCCACTCCAAGCCTTGAATGGCCGGGTGCTTTACACCTTCTCAGATCACGGTCTCCTCAGACCTGGGGGTTTCTTGTCTCCTCCCATCCCTTTTCTTTGCGATGTTCAGCTGCTCAGGGAGGGGAGGGAAGGAACAGGAGTGGTCTGACCCTTGCTTGCTTCCTGGCATTTCAATGAAGTTCCTTCCACCCTCCCTGGAAGCTTCTAGAAGGGCTCTTGGGCCACTTTCGCGGTGGGGCTCCTGGATGTCTTCATGGCTGTCGCTGGGCTGGGTCCTTTTTTGCTCACAGTTGGTGAGTCCTCACCTTGCCTCAGCTCTACTCTGGTAGAATATGCCCAGGCCCGGCTCACCGCTCAGTGCCTTAGCCATCCAATGCTCAGCTCCGGACTGTCTTCCGTGGGCCTTCACCTTTCTCTTGAACTCCTCCAGCCTTGACCTCGAAGGAGGACTTTGGTCTGCCAGGTGTCTCACCTTGTCCTGACCCCCCCTCCTCATCTCCGGGCCTGTCCTCCTGATTAGCTTGGCCTGGGGTCTTCATTACTGTGGCCGCCAGCCAAGACCTTGGGAGCAGTCAGTCATCACTTGCTCACTCTCTCTCCTCTCTGCTTGAGCCCTGGGGAAGTGAGACTCTCTCTCCTATCTTCAGTCCCTTTTCCTGAGGCTGGCTCCTGTCACCGTATCTTTTATCGGGATTCTTGAACTTCTTTCTGATGTCTCTCTCCTGTGTTCTCTCCCCGCGGCTCCCAGTACAGCAGCCAGAGATAACCTAGGACCTTCTCCTGCGCCATGAGGCCAGGACCCTGCCCTTCGACACCTTCCCGGCCTGTCCTCTCCGCTTCCCCTTGTGCATGGGCCAGGTCTGTGGGCTTATGCCTGTGACATGTCCCAATAAGAGCCCACTTAGGTCAATTCAGATCGCATCTGCTTGGGAAGCCCACATTGGCTCCCACAGTTGACACGAAGGCCCCCCCTGGCCCCAGTCTCCACGCCATGTTTTTTTCTTCAGCCCCAATACACTGTACTGTTTACCTGTGACATTTACCTGTATATCGGGCCTTTTTCTTCTGCCACGCTGTCCTCATGGGAATCCTGGGCTCAGGAGGGCAAGGACCTCTGTGGTGTTTGTTCTCTGTCCCCAGTGTTGGAACTATTGCCTGGCACCGGGCCTTGGGTTCCCAAATATTTAGCCAGAGCGGACAGGCCGAATCACAAGGTGTCCTGGGACACTTGGCACTATGAGGTCCCGTGCCAGGCCATGGGTGCCATGGTGCCACTGCCCCGCCATGGCTTGCCTAGCAGTTCTTCCTGTCACAGACCGCTCTTTAGAATTCCCAGGTGCATCCAGGCAGCAGTGGCACACTCGGGAAGCAGAGCCATGTGGATCTCTGGGAGTTCGAGGCCAGCCTGGGCTACAGAGCAAGATCCAGGACGGGCACCAAAACTACACAGAGAAACCCTGTCTCGAAAAACCAAAGGGGGAAAAAAAATTCCAGGTACTGTGGTTTAAAGGGCTGGTTCAGGTTCCAGGCAGGTAAAATGATGTGAATTTGATTCCCAGAACCCAGGTCAAAAGAGCTATAGTCATTTCAGCGCTGGGGAGGCAGAGGCAGGAGCATCCCTTGGGTTTGGCAACTCTAGACAACCCTGGTGAACTGGGAAGCTCCAGGCCAAAGAGAGACCCTGTCTCAAAAATCAGGGTGGATAGTGTCTGAGGAGCCACACCTGAGGTTGTCCTCTGGCCTACACACACACACACACACACACACACACACACACACACACACACACACAGTCCCTGGTCCATCAGTCTTTTCTTTACAGGCTTCTATCTGTCTGGCCAATCAGTGTCCTGAACCCCCACCCCAGTATACACACAGACACACAGACACACACATAGATACACAGACATACACAGATACAAACACACAGACACATACATACATATACACACAGAGAGGCAGAGACTTGCAAAAACACACACACATGGACACACAGACACACACACACCCTGGTCCATCAGTCTTTTCTTCACAGGCTCCTGCCTGTCTGGCCAATCAGCATCCTGGCCTCTACACACACACACACACACACACACACACACGCACGCACGCACGCACGCACGCACGCACGCACGCACGCACGCACACACACACCCATCTTCTCCTCTAACGTTGCCTGCTGTTCCTTCTGCCGAAAGCTTGCCCCTTGGCTCTTTTACTCAGTTCCTCTCCTGTGTGCTTCAAAGTAAACGTGTATTTTGTGGTGCCTGGGAGTCACCCAGAGATGCACTCATGCTACACAAGAGCTCTGCCAGCAATCTACACGCTGCACCTGTAAGTGGGATTTTTATTTATTTATTTTATTTCATTTGGTATTTCAAGACATAGTTTCTCTATGTAGCCCTGGCTGTCCTGGAACTCACTCTGTAGCCCAGGCTGGCCTCGAACTCACAGAGATCCCCCTGGCTCTGCCTCCCAAGTGCTGGGATTAAAGGCGTGCGCCACCACTGCCCGGCGAGATTTTTTTTTTTTAATTTGAAGACATTTCCTGGCCACTAGCTTACCCCACGTCCTCTGAGGCTCCCCTGGGACTGTCCCTGAGCTCACCCTCCAACCATCTCATCCATTTGGTTGGTGACCTACCAGGATGAGGATCCTGGGTGCTTTGTACACAGCTTTACATGGCTGGGGTGGGACCAGTGCTGAGGCGGGGGCAGGGCCCCGGGCCCGGGCCCTAGTGGCCATTATTGAAATCACAAGCCTTGTAGCTTGACTCAGCTCCATGCTGTGGGTGGGTGAGTCACGGGGCTCTGATGTGCCTCTGTCCCCCAGGACAGCCTCCTGAGCTGGCATTCATATGGCCCAGACCACACCCAGTGGCCCGAGCCCCTGGCAAGGACCACTCAGGCAGGATCCGAGTCTCGACGTGCTTCCTCTTGACTCCAGCAACTTCTCTCTGGTGTGGGTGCCAGGGTGTACCCCATGTATATGCAGCTGGCTTCCCCCAGTGACCTCTTACCTGTCCCAGCACAAAGGCATTGGGCCTGGAGGAACAGACCCAGTTTTCAGAGACGTTATTGGGACTGCTGTGGGCGGTGAGTAAATAAATCACACCTGTCTTAACCAAGGGCGGAAGGGATTAGAGGTGAGGAGCAGGTTTGCGGGGCACTGCCTTCCGTAGCGAACGGTCTTGGGCAGCCCTGGCGTGGCGTGGCCCCCGCCCGCTCTCTCTCCTCTGCAGTCTGTAAAGCCCAGGTTTATTACCAAAGCAGGGGTCACGTCCTCCCGTGGTTTCCTCACACACAGAGCCAGTGTGGGGCTGGGGTGGAGAGCTGCTTCTTAATCTGCCCATGATCTCTATGGATCTGCTAGTGATCTATATCTATCGAGACGAGGAGGTGTGGCCCACAGTCAGGAAGAACAGCAGCAGCAACAACAGGAAAACCTGGCTGCTATCACACACCTGTAATCCTAGCACTCCAAAGGCTAAAACAGGAAAATCGGAGTTACATCATCCTGACTACATAGGGAATCCGAGACCAATCTCGGCTACATAAGAGCCTGTCTCCAAAAAAA